ATATATTTATACATTTGTTTTTATTTAGTGTGTATTTCAATCCCATCAATCCAGATTATACATATCTGTGCACATATTGAGATGCGAGGTCGGTCCTACGTTAAGAAGCAGTCAATAGGAGTTTCAAAAATTTATTTGCTTCTGTTGCTGTTGCTGTTTCTGGGTCAAAAGTTGATTTTTGCTTAAAATCTACGCGTTCAGCAATTAAGTTACATTTGAGTCATCTTTGTTGTTGTTGTTGTTGTAAGCCCGAAAGCTGCCATCAAGGTGAGATGGCGTCCAAATTGCGCATAAGCTATTTTTTCTTCGCTACACTAAAAAGATAAATACACACATGTGTATATACAAGGCTAAACCAGTTCTTTTTATAATTTACTTACTATTTATTATCTTTATTTTGGTATAAAAAAAAGTAAATCGTTGACTTTTGCTTTTATACTTTTTGTTGCTCGGTCTATTTTCAGTGAAGTCATAGTTATATATGTGGGGGTTTTTGTAATTAATAGATGACTTGATTTGTTTTCAAGCTTCTGCAGGTACTTCTGCTTTCTATTGAAATATACATACAAATATACATACATATCAATGTCGCCCAGCCAGTGCTTCATTAAAAAACTATTTTGCTAGTTTTTATTTATACATAAAGAAATTGTATAAATATATAGTATACTTTACTCTATATACATATATTAAGCTAAAAGAATAATTAAATGAGACATTGAACTTTTGATCGTGCAAGCTTTCGCTGTATTATCTATATAAGTTTGGCATAGTCATTAGGTTTGAGAGTAAGATCCTTTGATATCTATGGAATCGATTAATGCCGGCTTTAGATAACTTAAAAATATATAAAAACATCAGTTTATATCTCATTTGGTTTAATCAACTAAAAAAAAATTATTAAATGAAATAATAAAAATCAGCATTCACAAATATTTTTCGTCTATATATCCTTACTGAGTTAGCCTAGCCATTTTTTCTTACCTACTTATCGTTATTTTTAATGTAAAAACATTGATTAACAAGTGAGAAAGTTCTAGTCGAGACTGCTCGACTACGAAATCTCCTGAACCCTTATAAGAATTTATATTTCAATAATTATTCGCGCCTCTCTGCATACACAAGAAACACACACATAGGCATGCACGCATAAACACGCATGGACTGCATTAATTGTTTAATAACTTTACTTTTCGATGGACTATCTCCATGAGACTATTAGATCTTAATCAGAATGATAAAATGCATGTATGTGCCAAAGTACAAGTCTCTAGTATTTAAAATACGTCTTTTGGGGTGGGGGTTACATTTTGACAAAAACCGAAATTATATAAAATACATATAAGTCTACATTCAAAGTTTGTATCTATAAAGGTGTAGGAGATATAATTATAAAACTACTTTTCGATAAGGATTTTAATCGATAATAAAATATCGGGACTAGTTAGATATTTAGAGAAACGCTCGACATGCGCGTGATATACACGTACCTAGGAAAAAATCTCTACCTCTAGCTCTTATCTTCTGAGATCGACGCGTTCATACATACGGACGGACRGACRGACRGWCRGACRGACRGAYAGRGCTAAATCGACTCAGCTCGTCGCCCTGATCAAGAATATATATACTTTGTGGGATCTACCACGCCTCCTTCTGCCCGTTACATACTTTTAAGAAAACCATTATACCCTGATTTCCCATTTTCAATGGGTTCTCAGGGTATAAAAAGAACAATAAATAACGGTGCATAGTTATAGAAATAGTTTTTCGTCTTTGATGTCAGCCGTATCAGTTGTGCAGTATTTATCAATTCTGTCCCAGGGGCAGCCTGGAGCATTAGATGTAATATGAATATTTAACTAAGACCCTAACGAAACAGATGAAAGTTACATATCCAATATCTCTCCCCACCTCTAGTTAAGTCTTCCTTGTCTACAACGTATGTGGCTTAGTGAGTCCACATACTCAAGCAGTTTCTTGACCCACATAAGAAAACCAAAAAGTTCTTTGTTTGTTTGCAAGTCGAAAAATAATTGTTAGCTTCACTAGCAACTTCAGTCAAACAGCAACTTCAGGCCAAACGCTCCAAAAGTCATAAGCAAACTAACCTAATAAGTGATTTTAACTTTACTTTTAATGCAAACTACGGCAAATACAATATGCTGTTAATTAAAGCCGTTGGCCACGCCCACACGGCCACACGACCACACAGTCACAAGTCTTATGCTCACATTAAAGCAAATGCAAACAATTGTTTAGTCACACAAATACACACCTGTATAGACAGGGTCTATATAGTCAATGTATTAATATTACTACATTTCGACTAAATGAACACTGATCATGCACTAAAAGGTTYATATTATATTTTTATAAATATATACACGAATCACATCGCTTTCAGTTTCTTCCCCCTTATATAAAATTAAAAATAATTAAATTAAATAAATAGTGAGAAGAAAACTCTTTAATATACATAAATATATGTGTTCTAATAAATATATGATTTTCAATAAATATTAAGGTAGATTGAAATTTAAAGTTGATAAACATTTTCGTTGGAAAATAAAATAAGAGAATTACCGTCATTCGAGCTTGCAGTTTCTCAATGAAATGTCATATTTGTAAAATGAGATGAAAAACACTTAACTCAATGCGATCAACACCTTTTCACTGCTCGAGCAATCAGCTGCAAATCGGAGACTACGCCACTGCTATAGCGCCATGCAGATCTATATGGCATAAGCTAAAGAAGCGGCTGAAAGTACAAACCGATTCATCGGCAATTGTGATTCGCAATTAACATTTGTGTATTCTTTCACCGGAAAAACACCTGAAGGTGTTTAAATGTATGTATGTATAAATGTATGTACAGGTATCGAAAACGCGCTTAGCCAACGGCTTTTAATGAAACTTTCAGCATATGATCTGCAAAATATAGTTCACACATTCATTGATGGCTTTATTTTAAATTACAAATTGGAATATGGTAAGATTAGGAGGCTAAAGATGTACGAGATATATATTTTTATTCGTGAATTTGAATAAGATTTATAATCGATAAAAAGGGAATTGTTACGACAAAAATTTAATTTCAAATCAGTAACATACAAAGTAAATGGAATAAGTAAACGAGTTTTACAAATTGAAAGAAGGTTGGGTAGATCCACTAGCAAAGCAGAATAATTCAGAAAGAGAACAAGTTTATCTGCTCTTCATTGTTTTTCAAGTAACAATTTGTAATATTGGGAATACATAAGAAAAATAAAATTGTTATAATTTTTGTTGACCAGGTAGGTCTTGAGCTTGTCCTCACCTGTAATTGTGAATGTCTTTCAGTAGTACTAGAACAATGAAGCCAAGATTTCGAGTTCAGCTTATAGGGTAATTGAAACACAAAAGCCTTCGTTATTTCATCTTCGAGTTGCGCAACTTCAACTTCAACTTCCACTTAGCTTAAGTCGGCATTTGGTAATATCACTGCCAAGTGCAAGGGTTACCTACATTCCAGTTCCCAACCGACGTCGCTGTCCGCTGACCTGGGTAGAGTTACATATGTGTGTTATGCGTATTGCCTAAGCTGTAACCTCGACTTTATGATAACTTTTTGCTCTGTTTTCTTTCCCTTTGTTCCGTATATAGTTCACAACCACAATGCTGTACGATCCGGTGCGCAAGAAAGATTCATCACCCACATATCAAACAGAGCGGGATGTTTGCTTTCAGTACTTCACACAGTGGAGCGAAGCCGGACAGGTGGACTTTGTCGAGCAGCTGCTATCGCGCATGTGTCACTATCAGCACGGACAGATCAATGCCTACTTGAAGCCGATGCTACAGCGCGACTTTATCACACTGCTGCCAAGTAAGTAGTAAATTGAATAGAGTAAGGTAAGAGTGCTCTAATCGAGACTGGGAGAGAGCCTCTCGTTCCAACCGATCATAGCTCCTTGTGCACGTATTCATATATTATACGTACATACACTCTATATCTTGAACCCTTTGAAAATGGGAAATCAGAATATGATAGATAGGGGAAGTCAGACCCCATATATATATAATAGTCTTGATCTGACCAGTACGTCTGTCCGAAGAGAGTGCACTCACAAAAGCTAGAAACTTCAATATAATTTAGTATTTTTCTGTAAAAACTAGATTTATTAATGCTATTATCATTTCTTAAAAGTTTGAGTTTGATTGGCTCTCCAACGGATCAAAGTATCTTCTAGTCGAGCAGTCTTCACTGCAGCACTCTTACTTTTTCATGTTGCTACGTTCATACACACTAAATGCACTCATCTCTCGTCGCTCTGTTAGGAATATATAATCATTTTACAGTTACGTATATGACATTGTCTGATTTTGCGTGTTACACCGATTTATTAAAAAAAGAGCAGAAATACAGTATTCCCTTTCTTATCAGTTTAAGTGGAGCCAAGTATATAGTATGTGTTGGATATTGAATAGCAATGGAGATTAAGTAAGACTGAAAAAGTAAGTAGCCTGATATATAGTCTCTTCTTGTTTTCTCATAATGTAGATAAACATATGTTCTTATATTAACAAACAGTTTACTTGAATCTGGAGAACTAGACTTATGAATTGGTAGAATTAGTCACAATTGACTAAACTTATCTTGACCTTTCCGATTGTAGTATGAAATATGTATTAAGTAAATGTTAGCATATACAACATAAAATTATTAGGATAGATATTTGATATGTTTTTTTCTTCGTACATTGATATATTATCTAAAAATAAATTGTAAGCTGAAAACTAGAGGATTATAACTAACTGATAGACGATTAAAAGTGCAACTGAAGTAAAGGCAACAATAGAAACAAACAAACACAAAAGCGCGTAGGAACAGAGTTGAACTGCGAAACGTGAAGGTAACCGAACGAATGGAATCTGCTTTTCCCCTTTCCCGTGTCTATCCTCGTCCCCAGCCGTTGCCGTGCAACTGTTAGAGAGTACGAGCAGCGGAACGGGGGAGGGCAGCGCAGGTGACGCTCTATGTTGCTGCCTCTGCCTCTGCCTCTGCCTCTGTCTGTGATTCTGCTGCTTATGTTGTTGACTGAAAGGTCATTGCTTCCATTAAACGCGCTTTGCCGGAACAGAATGAAAATAAAACAAGCAAAAGCCGCACAAAACAAAACGTCATACATTAAGTATTTGAATCGATGAACTGAGCAAAAATAATAAAACCCAAATATGTTTGTTTTTAAAGAAGTTGCGTAATGATAAGATATTTGAGTTTTTTTTATAAATTAAATCTGAATATTGTATTGTTATTTATTTTGGAAAAAAGATTAAGAGTTGAGAGGTCCTTAGGTTATTTTTGGAGACATATTACAGGCGAAGCATGTTAGGCGAGTATCCGAATTCATGTTGCCAAGGCGTTACACATTTTATGACATAGTTAAGACACCCAGCTAGGACAGAGCAAGGCAAAGGAGAGTAAGAAACTAATTCTCGTCGGACTTCTTTGCTTGTGTATGTTTAGGCAGGATGAGGGAATGGGAAAGAGAGCGGGAGCAAGCAGCGCTTCCACAGTTTACAATGTAATGCACAGTGAAGGCGGCGTACTCATACACTTACTATGAACCTTGAGAGCGAGAGTAAGAGCGACCGGACTGAGGATAGGCAGGCGACTCGAGCCGTTAGGCAGGCGACGTTGAAGCAACAATAACAACGACAACTTGAACTACATCAGCTCAGCATTTGCAACGTTGTCGCTGTTGCAAAGTCACTTTGCGAGTTATCCACATTCTTAATTGTGTTTGGAAAATGCAGCACTTTATGCAATTCACGGCAGACCCAACGGGGTCGGCTCTCCTTCCTCCTCTCCTTCCTGCCCGCCGATAGCTGTGCTCAGAAATCTCATGCGACATCTGACGATTGCTCCCTGTCAGTTCTCTTTATCTCCTTTCCCATTGCTAACTTGCCGTTAGGTGCGTCCGTTTCACTTGCGCTCGTAGGTGGCGCGTGGGTCTAGAGCAGTTCTTGAGCGTAACTTTGGATATTGTTGCATCAATGAATCATGCCTTGGATCTTAAACTAATTACTGCTTGTTGACCTTAATATAGACATGTGTATATGTAGGTTAGTCATTTGCTTTTGTTTGATTTGCTTGGATGTGCTCAAGAAGCGCAAGACTCACTCAAGCTGAACAAACGGAAAGTTTTCATGAGTCATCGACTATCATTAGCTGCACGTATCTCTTACAAACATGTTCATTCGAGTACATTCATCATCTGGATTAGATAACTTTCAAAAATTCCTCAGCGGGGTCAGTAAAATATAACTCTTATAGCTTAAAATCTTTTTTAAAATTTCAGAGCCTATTAAAGATATAGGACTTGAAAGTATGACACGTCGATCTTTCCACATGATGCTCCGTTTAATATCAGCTTAAAACTTTTTCTAATTTATATTTGCGTCTCTTATTTCTTAACAGAAAAGGGTCTCGATCACATTGCCGAGAATATTTTATCGTATCTGGATGCCGAGTCCCTTAAGTCTGCCGAGCTGGTGTGCAAGGAATGGCTTCGCGTCATCTCCGAGGGCATGTTGTGGAAGAAGCTGATTGAGCGCAAGGTGCGCACTGATTCGCTGTGGCGCGGCCTGGCCGAGCGTCGCAATTGGATGCAACATCTGTTCAAGCCACGACCCGGCCAAACACAAAGACCGCACTCATTCCACCGGGAACTATTCCCCAAAATCATGAATGTGAGCACAAAGTAAAATGTAAGCGACAAATTAATTAATTAATGCTATTTTCAGGATATTGACAGCATAGAGAACAACTGGCGGACTGGACGGCACATGTTGCGCCGAATTAATTGTCGATCCGAGAACTCAAAAGGTGTCTATTGCTTGCAGTACGATGATGGAAAGATTGTGTCCGGCCTAAGGGATAATACCATTAAGATATGGGATCGGACGGATTTGCAGTGCGTCAAGGTACGATTTTCAATTAAATTTTGGAATATCTTCGATTAACGCTTAATCTCTGATTGCTGCAGACACTAATGGGACACACTGGCTCAGTTCTGTGCTTACAATATGATGACAAGGTGATCATTAGTGGCTCCAGCGATTCCACGGTGCGTGTATGGGACGTCAACTCCGGGGATATGGTGAATACGCTGATTCATCACTGTGAGGCGGTGCTACATTTACGTTTTAACAATGGCATGATGGTCACATGTTCTAAAGATCGCTCCATTGCGGTCTGGGACATGACCTCGCCCAGCGAAATTACGTTGCGTCGCGTCCTAGTCGGCCATCGTGCCGCCGTAAATGTAGTGGACTTTGATGAGAAGTATATTGTGTCTGCCAGTGGGGATCGCACCATCAAAGTGTGGTCGACATCGAGCTGTGAATTTGTGCGTACACTGAATGGCCACAAGCGTGGCATCGCTTGCCTGCAATACAGGGATCGGCTAGTGGTTAGCGGCAGCTCCGACAATTCAATTAGGTAGCATGAAAAAGCTCTAGTTAATTTTGAAATAATTTGTACTTATATTTTGAATATGCATTTCGACAGGCTGTGGGATATTGAGTGCGGAGCTTGCCTGCGCGTACTGGAAGGTCACGAAGAGTTGGTGCGCTGCATCCGCTTCGATACGAAGCGCATTGTCAGTGGTGCCTACGATGGTAAAATTAAGGTCTGGGATTTGGTTGCAGCGCTGGATCCACGCGCCGCCTCCAATACACTGTGCCTCAACACCCTCGTGGTAAGTACTCCTCTAGACTGTTGCAATTGATATACATAACTGATTTTATGTTGATTGTATTTAGGAACATACTGGTAGAGTTTTTCGTCTTCAATTCGATGAGTTTCAAATTGTCAGCAGCTCACATGATGATACTATTTTGATATGGGACTTTCTAAATTTCACGCCCAATGAGAATAAGACCGGCCGAACTCCATCGCGTAAGTTCACACTTTTCTTTATCAAAATATCTAGTACAAAGTTAAGTTTTTGTTTATTTTGTGATTCTAGCGGCCCTTATGGAACATTAACATTTTGTGCAAATGCAGCTGCGGGCACTTCAGCTCTATTCCTCGAGTGATGAGGAGGGGCAAGAGGGCGACGACGATGACGACGACAACGAGGGCCGTGTAAATGCAGAACATGAGAATATTGAGCTCGAGTCATTTGGTTATAATGTTGATAATCTTTATAATGCTGTTCAAGAAAACTAATGAGTAATACTAAGCCAGCAGATAGCATTGAGACTCGTCCATTAAATTATGTTGAACCCAAGATACTGCGATCTCCGATTTTACTGAAATGCACTAAAAAAAAAAGAAGAACATTACAAAAACAAAACAAAAAAATAATAGCAACTATAT